AAGAGCTGAAGATGCATAAATAGATTTAAAATTTGTCTTTCAGTTGTCTGAGTTGGGACTTGTAGGGAGAGTTAGGACAGCAGTATTCCCTAAACGGTAGATGTTAAAATGAGTGTTATTTCTTTCTAATTTTGTATGTGTGTGGATGTACATTTCTGTATGTATATTTACATGTGTGAGGGCACATACACGTGTGTGGATGTGTGTGGAGCTCATCGTTTTGGCTAGCTTTGCTCTGGGGAATCCCTGTCTCTGCCTTTTATGTACTGGGGGGGGGGCACCAATATTTGACATTTATATGGATGCTGGGGATCCAAATGTCAATCCTCACACTTGATGGTGAGCACTTTATCCACTGAACCTTCTCCCTAGTCCATTTCTAATCTTTTAAAAATATAAAATATAGTTTTCCTTTTGAAGTACAAGAGACCTCAGATTTTACTTTTCCATTCCTTCTAGTTGCTTATGCTTTAATTTCTTCTCCAGTCACCCATTTTGTAATTCTGTGATCCTTTTTTCAAGTTACCTGAACTATGCCTCAGTTTCCACACCCATAAAAGGGCCAAAAAGAATACTATCTCATGGTGCCGTTTTAAACTATGGTTTAGAATAGTTCCTAAAACAGAGTGTGTGTTCTGTAAAACCTAGTTACTTTTGTTTACTTAACATGTATTGTACACTAAACAATACTGTACACTCCACAGGGCAGAAATAGCCAAGAACAATAAATCATACAGATTTTATTTTTTTTTTTTGCCTGCATTTATGTATGTGCACCATGTGCATTCCTGGTATCCACAGAGCCCAGAAAAGGGTGTCAGATCCCCTGGAACTAGAGTTACAGAGGCTTGTAAGCTGCCTTGCTAGTGCTGGGAACCAACCCCTGGTCCTCTGCAAGAGTAGTCAGTGCTCTTAACCACTGAGCCATCTGTTGAGCCCCCATTATTTTTATATTTTATACAGCCTTTCTGGTGAAAGTAAAAGCAAGGGATATGAATGGGGCATTAAAGTGCCAAGGTGCCAACACTGGAGTGTGCTGACTAGGTACAAGGAACAGGGCACAGGACAGAGGACAGTGTGTAACAGAGTGATAGGGGAGGAAACTACAGGGGCCGAGGGTGGGAAGAGAACAGCTATGGAGCTCCCTGCTGGCCTGGTCAGAGGCTGGATGCGACAGGAAATCCCTGCAGGGCTGTGACTGAGCAGGGCCAGCAGCTGGGGAATCCCAGAGGAACCTGCTGCACTACAACCTGAGACCACAGCTGGTGGTGGCGGGGAGGAAACCATCCAGCACACTGCTTCAGTCTTCATGTTCTCAAAGATTTCCCTCTTACTGGTGTTCACTGACACCTACTAGACACTGGACTGGGCCACTGCACAGATATTATCTCTTACTCTGAAGCTGCAGACCTCATATAAAAACAAATAACATGAGGATATTAAAACTCTGAGAAAATGAGTTTTGAAGTTTCTAAAATTACTCTTTCCTTATAGAAGTATCCTTCTTTTTGACATTTGGATGTGACACTGTGGTATACTAATGTGTCATGCCCACTCATAACAATCCTAAGATGCATTCAGCCTATGGACAACAGGTTGTACATGCCTGATACAAACTCTGTATAAAAGATCACTACCTTAATCAACTGACTGGCACTTCTGCAAATCTATCCTATCTGATAGAAATGTCACCGATTCTTTGTAGTTACTTCACTATGCCAATCTCTTATTAAAATAGCTACCTGTCAGATACAGGAGTGGCTTCAGTGTGCCATAGCAAAAATCAGCAATAACTCTATAGCACACTGTCTCTTTCCCAGGGAAGGAGAACATAGGCAAGTAGTCATCTGGGATGAACAAAGGATCTAGGACAGTGAAGGACACTTCATTTTTTAAAAGATTTACTTATTATTTTTATTATTTATGTGTATGAGTGTATTGCCTGCATGTGTGTAAGTGTGTCCACATCGTGCAGTGCCTGCAGAGTTCAGAAGAGGGTGTTGGATCTCCTGGAACTGGAGTTACAGATAGTTGTTAGATGCCATGTGGGTGCTGGGAACCAAAGGTCCTCTGTAAGAGCCATCTCTCCAGCCCAGGACACTTAATTTTTAAAGTAAATTGGAAAGTTCATATGAGATACTGTTAACTATTACATTACCTTAATTTTGTATAACTCAATGAAATTAAAAAGTAAACAAACCCTTTGAAGATGAAGGTGAACGTGATTAAGAATTCTCAAGTTTATGTCTTTTCTGAGTCTAGGCAATCCTATTATGAAATACTTGCCTTCCCTTGCCACCAAATCCATGTTTCTACCTGAATTCTGGCACTCCACCTCACAACAAAGCTTAGATTTTCCCTGAGCACCCTAAAGCAGGACAGATAATGGGCTATGGGTTTCTTCCTCTTTCTGATTTTGGAGAAATGAGAAGACATGTTAAACTCCTACCCTTGTCCTTGCAAGAATACGCCATGGAATCGACTGCTGGGGAGTCATGCTTATTCCCTAAATGGGCAACAGAATGGGGAAAAAAGCCATTTCCCAATTACCTTGTTCACTCCACTCACATTAGGAGAGGAAATTCCAGAGGGCCAATCCTCCCGTAAAAATCCTTCAGTTTAGTTTAATTATGAGCCCCGCACATAAAGCGTCCTAAGACATCTACGTCAGGCCCCGACCACTGCTCTCAGCAGAGAGAGGCAGGGAGACCTTTCACTACTGAGCAGATAGGGAGGCATGCTTTTGTGAGTTGAAAACATGGTTGAAAATTCAATTTAACTGAACACCAGGCCACTGTGCTTCTTGTAAATGAACATCATTTTGCTACTAATTTTGTGCTATTTTACCTTTCATTAAAAAAAGTAATTTAAGTTAAACTCAGCTGAACAGCAAAAAGCTCTTGATATTTTGGAACAATTACTTTGACGGGAGCCCTTGACAGTTAAATGACTCCGCTAAATGAATGTTATAGAAGACACATAATGATTTTTAGTGAAATATTGAATTTAACCACAAATGAGGAAAACCTAGTCATAAGCACTACAGTATATTTGAATAATAACATCTTGCTTATGAATCTCAGTGGATTCTATAATTTCTAATAATCATGCAATCAACTAGTTAGCTAGTGGGTGTGTTTCCTATCTTGATATTTTCTCTTCATTTTTGGTTTATACTTTTTTTTTAAATCTAAGAAACCTGTAAGAAGATTTCAGTCAGTACTGGCAATAATTTCCCCTTACATGGATACAGTATCTTACAGTTAGGAAATTAATGAGATGCTGCTTCACAACTGAAGACCTCCTCTTCCCTTCCCCTTTTGCTCAATAGGATTCTTTCACAAAGTAAAAACTCAGCGAAAGCCATGAACACGACGCTGCCTGAGAACGTGAGAATTCACTGGATGCCAGTGTTTCCTGCATCTGTGGGACCTAATCTTCCTTTTCTTATTTTATGGATTGAATGTGAGATAGCATCAAGGTTTTTTACATGTTTTCTCATGACTAACAACTGAAATATGTACTGAAATAATAAAACTGGTACTGTTCAATTTCCTTTTTAAATTCAATTCCAATATAAGTGAGAGAGACCTGGTGATGGTGAAATCTGACTTATTATAAAATTCTGTTTCCTGGAGATGAAGAGGAGCTGGAAACCTCAGTAGATACAAACCATGTGGGTGGAGACATTTGGCCTGAAGAAATGAGTCAGAAAAACAGGAATGTTCTTTATCTTGTTTGTCTGGCAAGTTGGGGTGCAAAATGGATGCTAAGCAATACGGAGCTGTATTACGTGGATTTCCATACACTGGGAGCAGTGGCATGCCCTGATTACTCTAAGTAAGTGAGCTTCTACTTCTAAGTTCCCACTGCCCCTTGTATTCCTCCTTCATCAGAAATTGTGTATTTACAAGCCTTCCTTTTTCTGGATCCTCACTTCCTAAAACTAGGGAGTGTCTTCATCTTGCATCTCCTAACATTTCTGAGCCACCATAAACTGTTTACTTAAATGTGCTATAAAAAAATATCTTTTCACATCCTTCAGTCAGTAGTAAACTACACGGAAATGTCTAGATCATTTAAAGACCTGATACTAAAGAAAAGTCCAGCTATGCACCAAATGGACCAAAGCAGCATTATCCAGAACTCTACTACTCAGTGTGTGGTCTATAGATCAGCAACGTGAACATGACCCAGGAGTTTTATGCAAGCAGAATCTTAAGTCCCACTTCAGACCCCAAGTCGAAATTTGGATGACAACCAGACCTCCAGGTGTCCTCATGTACAACAAAGTTTAAGAAGTGTTTAGGAATAATCTATAAAAGTATGACATCTGAAGAAGTCATGTTGCTTGAAATGGAGAAGCCAGGCCATGGCATTGTGATTAATGCAGAGGTCTGCTGAGAAAGTTTTAGAGTTCTCGCAGGACAGTGCTCACAGGTGAGAAAGTAGTTCCCCTGGAACTCTTGCTAGATACTTCTTTACACATTCCTGTCTAAAGATACAGCTGCTCCCAATAATTGTCTTTTCTCCTTGGTGCAAAGCGAGTTTTATCGTCAGCATGCTGACATTTGCAGGAGTTTTGGCTTTCTCCACTAAAAAATGTGGATGATTGAAAGGATATTGCTGACACCTGAATAAGAAATCCAATGACTCCAAGTTATGTAAATTTAATTATTTCCTTTAATTTTTTCAGGAATCTTTTCTTTCCCCAAGCTTTAGAAAAGTCCTGGCAATTTTCATTTAAAAGAAATACAAGTCAGCAGTGGTTCACTGAACAAGCTGACACGCAATTTCATAGGGGGAGAGATGCTGTGTCTTTAATCTAATTTGGGTTCTCAATTCCCAGCTAATGTATCTAGGGATCATGATGCATGCATTTACAAGGAGACATCTGTAACGCAGAGTCCAGCTCTGCAATTCTCTGAAACATGGGTTAAAAAAAATGAGCCTGGGTTCTTGCAGCTGCCCTACAATGTAATAAATCTTTATATACTCACAGATGTAGAAATACTCTCGGCCTGGCCTGAATTCAAATCCTAGAGAAAAGGGAGTGAAGAGCTGGAATTTTTCAGAGAACTTCAGTGGTCCATTTGGAGAGTGAGGTCGGTTACATTCCCATCTCTTGAACCCTTTGGAAGTATGGTCGCAGGCACTGTAGCCATCAAAGTTCACCATGTAGAGGACATAGCGTTCAGTCTTATCTTCTGGGACAGAGTCCTCATAGTGAGGGCAGAAAACATCCAGGTAGTCATTGATACAGACATCAATATGGTAGTCACCCCTCTGGAATCTGTTGGAAGAAGAACAAAATGATAGGAGAATTCATAGAGGGATGTCTTTCTGTTTGTAAGCAACACTTGAACCTTTCAGTAATAAGATTTACAATGAAAAATTATCATTGAATATTCTTATAACTTGGAGCATGATTAGAAATATTACAAACTCCAGTGTGCGCATGCACACACACACACACACACACACACACACACACACACACACACACACCCTATAAGTACCACATTGTCCACTTCGAATCAATCTTACAAAACTCTGCCTTTTCTGTTTTAACTAATACCCCATTCTATCAGCTGAAAAGTATTATTTCACAGGATGCAGTGATATGAGAAACAGTAATTGTATGGATACAAGTTTTTCAATCTAAAATCATGATGGGAAATCTTAAAAAAAAAACCTTTGTTTTTAGCTAGCAAAGAAATTCTTCCCTAAGCCCTCAGAAAGGTTCATCATAAAACTGTGCTGCTGTTGAAATACAACACTCATAAAGTCCTATAATCTTCAAGCCGGACAGTCAGTCTCACATGAACACTTCCCAGTGATGATGAGCCAGTCAATTCCATTTTTGGACATCTCTAAATGTTAGACACTTTCTTCCTATATTGAGCATAAATCTGCTTCTGTGTAATTTCTATCCACTGATCTTACTTCTACTGCCTGGAGTTACAACGAGCAAATCTAATTCCTCTTCCACGAGGTAGTCCATAAAACATTTAGAGATGTCAGCTGTGTCTTTCTGTAGTGTAGCCTCCTTTCCCCAGACATGAAAATCCTGGTTCCTTTGGTGATCTCTAGGTAGGTTCCCAGACACCTTCTCAGTCTTGGGTCCCCCTCACGGCCTACAGCTTCCCAGTAAGTTCTTCAAATGTAGGATCTAAGCACAAATAAGACCTCCAGCAGTGTGGGACCAATGTTAACCCTAGTGGAAATAGACTACCTTTGTTCTCAGTGCTAAATATTCTTTGACAAAGCTGAGATTCCTTTCTCAGAGACAAAATACTGTTTAAAGAAAAAAAGTGGAGGCACTACTCATTGAGTAAGTAGACCTGGACTTAAGGGTTGGATCTGCTGAGTGGAAATCACAAATCATCCAGAACATCCCTTTCCTTACATATAAGTTCAGATAACAATGAGTCTAACTTGCTGGTCTCTCATGGCTTCTTAAGTCTCAAATGAAAAAGGATATGAAGAGCACCTTCAGGATTAAAAAAGTACCAATATATGCAAGAGAAATAAGGAAAGGTTATCAGAATATTCAGTTAAGATTTGCAAATAGAGGGGCATTTCTTAAAAAAAAAAACCCAAGTATTTATTTCTTCATGTTGCTAATAATCATGGGTTTACCTTTTCTTCATTACTGGCAGACAATGATTTGTCAAGATGCAAGGAAAGACTGTTGCTTTTAAAAGATTTTTGAACATCAAGGTAACATCACTGCCAAAGTACAAAGAAAAGACACTGCAATGTTCAGATAAAAGGGTGCTGGGATATGAATCATCAGCACTCAGAGTAGCCTGACAGTTCTGGATGAGAGCCAGACAAGAGCCTCAGCAGAAGGCGATGCCCAGATGCACTTTGTACTATTATATTATTATTATAGATTTTAAAGATATCCAAGGGGGAAGTATTTTTCTTTCCCTAAGTGTCACTCATGTTAGCTTTTTACTAGAATTTGAAAGTGTTCAAAATTGAAAATAAAAATTAATACTGTCATTACCTGAACCCATTCTGTTATTCCTTTATTCTATCATCCTTTTATTCTATCTTTTAATCCTGTGAATGTTGCTAAAACTTTAGTAAAGCTAACTGTGATTTGCAAAGCCCTTCTACACTGGGTTGACTAGTAATCCCTTTGGACGATCTTATACTTTGTGTAAAGTAAGTAAATTATGGCATATCTATTTCAAACATGCAATTGCTCTAGCAATTAATATTCCTATTCTTCTATCAGTTGCTAAAGATTATAATTTATCATATTCACACCTCTCTTTCAGATCCTTCTTTGCTAGTCTGTTTTTTGAGACAGGATCTTAGGTATCCCAGATTTCCCTTGAACATTCTATGTAACTGAAGATGTCCTTGAACTCCAGATCCTCCTGTTTCCATCTCCTGAGGATAAAACAGGCTTGTCTTCTGTTTCAGATCTTTAATTTGTACAAATTTATTTATCAATGTGCATGACAAAGAATGGACAATATACACATTAAAAATAATGACTAATTGGAATTCATAAAGTGCTATATAATATACCCAAGAATAATCCAAAGAAAAGTTTAGGATTAGAATTTTTTCTTTCTTTTTTTGTGAGATATGGTCTCACTAGGTAGCCTGGCAGACTTGGAATTCAGTATGTAAACCAGGCTTGTCTCAAAGTCACAGAGATTCACCTGCCTCTGCCTCCTTGGAGCTAGGATTAAAGATGTGTGCCACCATGCCAGGCTAGGTAGGATTAATACACTTAAATCTACATCAAGTCAAGGTCTTCCGGGTATAAAGTGGCAGGGGCATTAGTGTGAAAAAGCACACAGGCATGACTAACATTATTGAATACCTATGTTACATCCATTATTTCAATTTTTAAATTTTTTATTTTTACTTTATGTGTGAGTGTTATATCTGCATGTATATAAGTGCACCTGTGTTGTACAGTGCCCGAAGGGGACAGAAGAGAACGTTGGATCCGCTGGAACTGGAGTTATAGATGGTTGTTATCTGCCATGTGAGTACTGAGATTCAAATCCAGGTCTTCTGCAAGAACAGCCAGTGCTTTTAACCACTGAGTCATCTCTCCAGCCCCTCATTATTTCAATTTAATGTTCATCACTGTCCCACAAAATATTCACTGTTGTTACATCCATTTAAAAACAAGGAAACTCAGATTAAGAAATCAAGTAATGGGCCCAATGTTCACAGCTAGTGAAAGGTAGGGGTAAAATTGAAACCAAAGCAGTCTGACCTCAAAACTAAAGCTTTTCATATTACACTTTATGGGAGATTAAATTGCTAACATCAAGTCTGTAGGTCTGCTCTGGATTCCCCAGAGGGACAATTCTCATTCTCAGTGGGGTTTCAGTTCTATCTTCCAGTTACTGATATAACAAGTTTTGCTACACCAGGATCTATTTGTGCTTTACACAGAGGAAATACATATAGTATGAAGTACTCCAAAGAACTGCTTTGAGTGGTTATAATTTGCTTTACTTTACCAATCAAGAAATAACATTCAGAGAGGATGTTATCCTCTTAGTTCAATTTTTCTCAGGATATAAGTAGTAGAGAGAGACAAAATCGGAACCCATGTCTTACATAATTGTGAAGCATAGTCTGTCTTCATGACAACAGTGGCCCCCAAACTTCACCATTTGTAGCTTGTTGTCTTCCCCTTCACACAATGGCACCCTCTTAAAATTGTAGGTACCGTCAGCCTACCTTAAGGTTACAATACCCTAGAACAAGCCCTGCTTCTCTTCCCTGCCTACTAGTTGATTCCAAACTCCTAAACAGAAAGCTGAGGGGGAGCGTCAGCATTCAAAATAAGCCTCAGATGGCAGAGTTAGCTCTTGACTCGTGCACATTATTCTAGCCTTTCACAGAATAAAGTGCTGTTAGGCTCAGCAGCCAGTCACATAAAGGGATCTTTTTCCATCAGGAAACAGCTTTCATGAGCTTTAGCTCATATTAAAGTGGAAATTCCCATCTAGAAAGAATGATTCTGCATGCCAATATTTACAGATGCCGTGGGTAACACAGCCATTGCTGTTATGGATTTGTAGAAATTTCTTCCTCCTTTCCCTTAATTTTACCCATTGTGTCTGTGGTTGTCACCTTTCTAAGGTCACTGTATCTTTTTAAAAACTATGATATCTAGCTGCATACCAATAAGGCAGCAAAAATTCCAATAGCATCTCCACTAAATTATCACAGTGGTTCACAATATGAAGACAAGCACAGTCACCACACTTAGGAAGGTGGTTTTCTTTGCATAAGCAGTCACCACCCCCACTGTTCTCACAATGCAAACGTCTCAGGAGCCAGAAACTTTTCACATGCACAGAAAGGGGCCCCTGCTCCTCACTGGGTTTGCTCAGGTCGATACAACATAGAATACTATTTTGCAACAAAAATACATCTTACACATCTTCAAAATTTGGCAGTAGACTGGTTGAGGATCAATGTCATGTATATTTCAAAAGGCCCATTTTTAGCTAATTAAGAATGAAATTCAGCATGGAAACTAAGCCCCTATAATCAACTTTAATATCAAGAATGAATTATAATCTTTATGGATAGTTGCGAAGATGTAGGCCACGTGCAACGTTAGATAATAAGCTTATGCTAGAGGCTGCTGATGGCAAAGTGACTGTTGAATTAGAGCTGGGAAGAAGGCCTCTAAATGCAGGTAAGTGGGTTCATCTCCATGTTTGCCTGACGACTTTTCATCATATTGCTAAATATAATTTTGATTATTAATTTAAAACCACTGTTAATATCTCTCCCCTTAGTTAACCTGTGCAGTAGAAATGTACCATGACTCAAATCTCAAAATTCAAATAAAATGAAGACAAGAGACAACAATTATCTTTTCATTTAGATCTCAACAATGTGCCCCCAACTTTTAAGTGAGGCAGAAACTAAAGAATCATTTGATGACATTAGTTAGCTTGAACCATAATGTCTCTGTTCTCTTAATGACTTTATTTCTTACCTCGGATTTCTGAAAAGTGGGACATCTAGTCCTCAGTACTCAGTACTTGGGTCTTTTATCAGCCAGGATTCTTTTGGTGCCTCTTTATTAAGGCAAATAGACATCGCCTAGCTGTCTTTGTCAGTGAGTGGTTTTCACGGCACTGACCTTACTTCTTTCTCTGCCATGTGCCCCTGTGTTGTGGAGACTGAATAGGGAAGAGACACAAGCAGCATCCTGGGTTTGGGCTTCAGTATGCTGAGGAGCAGCATCATAATCGTGCTCTGGCCACTTTCTACTGTAGCTTCCCT